GCGCTCAGCTTTCTTTACAGCTAAAAAGGTAGGTAAGACTAAATAAAATGTTCTCATTTCTCTTCACAGATGAGGTTAAGGACAGAGAAAGAAGCGGATCCAATGACACAGATGTTTTAGCATGTGTATGTGTTTGTGTGTGACTTGCTCAGTCATGTCCAACTCTTTGTGACCCCATGGACAAACCTGGATACAAGGCCAGGCCTAAGCTTGTCCATGAGACCTGGGTAAGTTACAGTCTCCACTTGCCTCAGTTTCTTTACATATAAAACATCGGTAATACCCACCCTGCACCACACTAGGATGATTAGAGATAATTCATGTAAAGCATTCAATAAATAGAAAGTGACCTTTTTAAACCAGAAACAAATACATCATGCACTAACCCTAACAGATCGTGGTTCCTGCCTAATCCATCGTAGAACACCAAAACGTCAGCAACAGGCATGGAAACCAGAGACAGACTCAATATGAACTTAGATGTCAGTTTTTCCCACTACAGAACAGGGTAAATGATCTCTCTTCTTCCATATACTTACTGAAAACTGGAAAGGTTAAGGTTAGGAAGTCTCTTTTAGCTTCTGGGAAACGAATATAAGGCTGCTTCTGGTGGCAGTTATGACAGTGGTGACCCTGGGACTGGTGTCAGAGTCCTGACTCCACAAACACAAGGACGTCCACTCCAGTATTCCTGCCTGGAGCATCCCATGGACAAAGGAGCCTGGCGGGCTACAGTCCATGGAGTTGCACAGAGTCAGACAAGACTGAAGCAACTTAGCATGCACGCACATGTCAGACAATGGCAGGAGAACACTTAGAAGAACTCTAGCTATCCATGACTGAGTAACTGCAGACCCTCAAAGTTTGACCATGAAAACAATTAACCTGGAAACAAGATCAGATCGAAAGTCAGGATTTTACACATCAGCTACTGAACATTCAACAGAGAGGAAGAATTCTACTCGGGAATCTTTATAACCTGATTTTGGCATTTTCAGCCTGGACTAGTTGTTTCACTGTGGTCCTCAGTTCCCAACCTATAGACTCTAGGATTCTGGCAGAGGTTTATATACTGAACCCTGTCTCACTCATACATGGACTACTATTTTACAAATACGGAAGATGCTGTGGTCATTCTTTATAATACATATCCAGTTAAGTAATACTAAATAGTATCTTTGTCACTAAATATTAGCAATCATCAGAAATGAGAAGAAAACTCTAAAGAAGCAAAAATCTTTGAAATCTTTTAGTATTAAATAAAACTGTCCCAATTTTTATAAGGGTTGAGAACCACTGCTTTAAAGTTCACGATTTCTAACTGAAGACAGTTTGTATTTATAATAGACATGAAGGAAAGAGAGGGTTTCAAAAAACTGAAAATCCTAATGTACATTTATCTCCATTCCCAGTCCTCTCTTGACCATAAACTTTCCCTTGGCATTTAACATCAAAGGTAGTTACCCTTTCATTCTTAGTTCACAAGCCATTACAACCGTTCAAAGACAGAAATGGCAATGCCTTGTGTATTAAGAAAATATACATGTAACATTCCATTCCTCCTTTAAAACAGAAAAGATCACTCAGTTTATTTCTTCTCCCCACTCTTCCACCTTCTCTTCCTTCTCTTGATGCTCTGAAACAATTCTATAAAGATACTCAAAATGTTCAAAAGAAAAAAAAAATATTTTATCCAGCATTTCCCAATGAAAATGTACTCCAAATTTTAATTTATATTCTTCTCAGCACAACATAAAGATCCTAGCTAAAGACAGCCTCAACATTAAACACTACAAAAATAAGAAAAATAAACATTTCTGTCTAGGGAGTATTACAAAAATATTTAAAACATAAAGTGTATATGGATTTGGCCATGTCTTTCTATAATATAAGCTTTTCAGTAACTTATCCTGAACTGGGATAGGGAGGTTGGGGGGGCTATGTGAGGTGGTCATATAGTATGTAGGGTAATGGGGTGTGGAGAGAGTCATATACATCGTTTATTAATTTATCATTTCTTTTCTGGGATGTAAACTGTGTCCTAAGGGTAAACCAGAAGTGTTTTTTTATTCTAAGAAGTTAAAATATGCTAATCTGACCTTTCAAAAATACTGTTCACTAGGACCGGACAAGATATCTGTAAATTAAAACATGCCATTAGAATTTTGGCAGCAGAAAACAAGTCACAATGATGCAAACACAGCTAAATCTAGTCATTAACACAGAAGCAGTGTAAATTTAAAAGATGGAAAAAAACAAAACAATAAGACCCCTTAAACTCTGGGTAGAGAGGAATGGGAAAAGACCTACAGATTTAGGTAAAGTTAATCTCAAATCATCAGCTTGAGATTTGGAAAGGTGAAAGGTCATCTGAATCATCCCTGCCATCTCTGCCTTGAGCAACTTTCCAGATTTCAAGGGAGCCAAGCATTATAAATTGTTAATACCCCTGTTCAAGTCCCAGCATGTCCATTTACTTCTATGACCATTGACAAGTCACATTTTATAAGCCTCAGTTTTTTCTCTCCATCAAATGGAAAAAATGAATCCTGTTTCAGACTGTCAAAAGAAAAAAATATATTATAAATAAGATAGAGAAAATGCTCTCTGTAAACAGAAAATAGGGGGCTTCCCTGGTGACTCAGCAGTAAAGACTCCACCTGCCAATGCAAGAGACCTGGGTTTGATTCCTGGGTCAGGAAGATCCCCTGGAAGAGGAAATGGTAACCCACTCCAGTATTCTTGCCTGGGAAATCCCATGGACAGAGGAACCTGGTGGGCTACGGTCCATAGGGTCACAAGAACTGGACACTACTTATTGACTAAACAACAACAAACAGAAAATGAGGATCTAAAGGTCACGTATTAATATTTCTGGGTTATTATTTAGCTATTATTAAATTCCACTAGAATGGGAATAAATCCTGTTCCTAAGTAGGGGATAAGTTTGAGAGGTCACAAAGGCTGTTCTATTTTACCTGAAACAGAATGACAGATGCTGAGGAAAGTCCTCAAGTAAATTAATGAACCAGAAGGCCAAGAGTATACCTGGGTATAAAAAAAAAAGAGGCAAACAGTTGAACAGGTCTTCCCTTTCAAGAGTCTCTGTTAATGACTTGTTTCACTTTTCATCTCATGATGCATTTGGCAAGAAGAGGCACAAACACAGACGTACGAAAATCAAATTTAAGAAGTCCACATCTATCTAGAAAAAAGAAAATTAATTGCTCAGTGCTCATAGTGTATCTTGGTTACTTAATGCTAACACAGTTATACCAATTACTGATAATATCATAATGCTTAAAGCAGCTGCATTTTAAGAGATTAAAGTTCTGAAGGATTATTGGAATAATGGGATCTTATAATTCAAATTACCTCCATGCTGCTAAAAAGAAAAAGAAAGGGGAAGGGAGGGGAAAGTACAAATTTAACAGGCTGAGAAACTACCAAAGATTTTCCTTTCGAAGCAAAATCAATTATGTAGTAAATATATTTTACTATAAAAAATTCAGCATGGGGGGGTGGGTATGATGAACATAGAACATCATGAATTTAGGCTCTGCTTCCCGAGGAATCACAAGTGCCCAATATGATGAAAGCGCTAAGTGTACACAGTACTGCAATTGTGCATTTTCCCTCCCTATTACAAAAAGAGACCCCTATTTGCGGAATCTCCTTTTTCTCCCTCCAGTCATTTGTTTGGATCCCTTCTTCCAAAAGAAACTGAAAGACGATGTCACTGGCTTAGCATCATTCAAACATTTAATTTGAGGCTATAATCTTCCTACCAAACTGACTCTCCTCAACCATCACACCTCCCCTGGTGTCCCTCTGCAAGGCTGGAATTCAACCAGACAGATAAATAAAAGCAGGAAAACAAGGCTGGGCTTTCACTGGTGGGGGGGGGGGGGGGTAGTGTCCATCTGATTTAGTCCCTGGAGAGAGAGGAGCTGCCAGAGAAATGAAGAAGCAGAAAGTCTGCGCATAAAACCAACCTTTGCTCCAGCATTTTGTTCTTCACCTCTGCACTTCTGAGACGGAGCAAGACAAGCATGTGAATTGTAATCTACCTAGTGAATTTGAGAAAACTCATTCTCAGTTTTACTCTGATGAAAAATGGCATTTAATGAATAAAGATGTCAGGCTCCTACCTTTAAAAGTACTTCTGTCTCAGTAAGGGAGCCTGGCTAAGAAACCACGACTGGAGTTAACAAACCAGACACCAGACTAAACATCTCACAACTAGCTGCCCCTCATTCCTGGTCGTCACCTTTCCGGTGTGTGTGTGTGTGTGCATCACCAATTCCCTCAGGTCCTGACAGTCTGACTCGCCCAGAACGGAAAGCAAAGAGCCTGGACCCCTCTGTTACACCGGCTGAAGAAGTGGGATTTCTGAGTCTGGACACCAGGGCTCTTGCTTCCCTTTCCACCTTACACATCACCCTCAACTCCTCTTTCTCCCCAGGTCCCCACCCCACCCACTTACAACACTGTTAATAACACCCTAGCCAGCCATTTCTATAGATAACCCCCGGCCCAGGGAACAAAGTGAAGAACAAAGAGCCGCTGCTTCAGGCGGCAGGAGGAAGCCAGGCGAAGGTGGAGAGGGCAGCTGAGGACTCAGGCAGCCTCCCTGGCAGTCAGTCCTGCCTGGAAAGCTCCCGCCTAGAGTGAGTGGGTGAGGAAGCAGGGCAGGTCCCCGGGCGCCGCGTGCCGCCGCGCGCGTTTGCACCCGGGTCCATTGCACCCCGCCGGCAGCACATCCAGAGTTGAGAGAGACCCTCCGAGAAAGCAAGCAGCCAGGGGCGCACAAGGTAGAAAATGCACGCGAGCGAGGCTGCAGCGCGGAGCTGCAGATCGGCTGAGTGACAGCCCAGCGCCCAGCCCGCGGGCTCACGACCCGGCCTCGCACCTGGACCAGGCGGCCACCCTGCACCCTCAGGGCGCTCTCCTCTCCGGGGACTGGCTGCTGGCGGACTCCGCGAGCTGGGACCGGCGCGATGCGGCGGGGGCTTCACTCTTCCATCCTGGGACCCGGCAGCACGTTACCGACGGCCGTGCACTTCCTGTCTGAAACACACAGGGGAGAGAAAGAACGGGAGAGATCCGAGCGCCAGCCGAGCGGAGGCAGGCCGGCGGGGAGGGCGGCCGAGGGGGCTGCGGGTTGCATAACCACGGTCGGCGGCCCCCAGCACTCTACTCGGCGGGAGACCCGCCACCCCGGCCGCCAGCGAGGTGGCCGCCCCGCGGCCCGGCCTCCCCCTGCCGGCCGCCTGGCCCGCGGCGCGCTGGCAGCCCTTCCGTTTCCAGCCCCCGCCTGGGTTCCCCTCCCCGCGCTACCTAAGTCAACTCCACGCTGTCCGCCTGCCTGCCTAGGGGTTCCTCCTTTCCTCTCCTCTCCTCCCCGCCCCCGGGGGGTGGGGAGGGGGTGGAAATCTGACGAGGGGACGATATAAAGACTAGACAATCCTTACCAGGGAAGAGGAAGCTGGATTTACGCACAATTTTAAAGTTTAAGAGCCACATCCCCATATATCCATTCCAGCTCAGCAGCCTAAAGAGCTTCAGGATGGGAAAAAACTTGTCTTGGGCCTGGCTGACTCAAACTGCCAGAAACTGGCAGACACGAACTGCCAGAAAAAGAAAAAAAGTATTCTGGGTTCCTAGGCTCTCTCTCTACTGAGACCCTTAGCTGCACAGTGCCCTAATATTTATATATACCAATTCCACATGAAAGATCATCATATCGTGAAGAATGCATATAGTGCATTCTTCCAAAAAACAAGTATTTCTCTGGGTGTACAAATCACTCAACAGTTACCAAATTCTGGGTTTATGTCCATTTTGTCACCATCCGACTCAGGTGAACCTCAGGGTCCTGCTAACAAATGGTTTAAAAATCTGCCATAAGCAGCGTGTACCAGCTCTAGGAGTGTTCAGTGCCCAGTTTCTGGGTTTGCAAGTGAGAACAATTTCATCCCTACCGTGCCTGCCCTTGCCCAATAATCTATCAGGTTGCCAGGCACTTAAAGCACTGTCTCTGATCAACAGCTTCTTTTATCATCAAGGTGATGGCTTAAATAAAAGTTATTCCCGCTTCAAAACTCAACATGGAGAATAGTACATAATGAATGATTATTCTACATGAAAAGTTCAATTCTGACTGAAGTAGAAACTGATGGACATTAAGCTCCTGCTCAGTGTTAGCATCTCATTTTAAACTCCCTTAAATCTTAATATTTCCCAATAGGTCTGCAAAAGTCCTATTCTCACATTCCCAATTGAGGAAACTGGGTCAGAAAAGTTAAGTATCTATCCCGATGTCTTAGCTAAAAAGTAAAGTGGAGAGGTCTTTTCTAAGTATAAAGTCTGCACCACTTCCTCTACACTCTAATTCTCAAAACAATCATGAATTCTCAGGGAAAAATCAAGCCCAGTGACTATCCGTGATCCATCCCTTTGTCTCCCAATGAGCCTGCAATTCCATACTATCACTCCATCACACTAGCTGGGCTCCTTACCCACCTGAATTATATGTACCTTGAGACTCAAGCAGAGGACACCGTGCTCTTTACCATTATCTGCCACTGGCTCTGTCAGCCTTTCCAGTCACTCAGTGGCAAAAGTTCAGAAGGTTATGGGACAGCCACTTATATGCCAAGGTACAAAGTCTGTTCAGTTCAGAACCTAATCTGCTGACGAATATTTGTTCCCTGGATTCCTTTACTCTAACTGGGCTCTTTTAAGAAGAAGGCAAACAAACACACACACAAACAAAAACCACACCCACACAAAATGAACAAATCATGCATGGGCTCCACTCTTGATGAAATTTGAAATTCTCTCACTTTTCATTTCCTTCTGTTTTAGCACTTAGTTCACGCTCACCTGTCAATAGCATGCTGCTATTAGCCTCTTGACAAGCCAAGAAAGAGTATGTATTGAAAGGAGATTAAGAATCATGGCAACGAGGGGGACAGTGAGGGGGAATGTGAGTGCTCATGTCTTGTCTCCCGTGAACTGTGTCTCACTTGCCTTGCCCTGCCACCTTACTCAGCAGCACAGCCTCTGGGAGCTCCAGAGCAGGTAAGTCAAGGGTAAGGGCAGTTCAAGTGCGCCAGTCGGGGCTGAGCAGAAGCAAATGCATTCCCATCCTTCGGGTCTGCACTGTGACGTGAGGGCTTATTACTAAAAAACCTTCCGGGGGCGCTTAGCATCCTTCTAGGGTCGCTTAGCATCTTTCTAGGGTCCCGCTCTGCCTCTGATGCTGTCATTTTCCTTCTCGAAGTCCCCTGTTTATCCTGGACCTGTCCACTTTGCATTTCTTTTCACAAACTTAATGCTTCGTCCCAAAGCCCTGCCATTTCTTTCCCACAAAGTACCCGCTGGGAGGGAAGGAGGACAGAGAGCAGTTAACTCAAAATTTCTCTCAATTCTCTCTCATTTAGAAAAAAATGATAATTACCATGTTTTGGATACAATTCTATTTTGAAATACTTTTTGGTATCCCTGCCTTCATTGCTGTTACTTATTAATCCAAGAGCCTTGAAGGAAAAACCTCTAAAGAAAAATTAAATTCTTGAGACAAAGCAAAGGAAACATGCTCAGGTTAAGCTGGATGGATCCCAACGTTCATAGTCTGGATAATGCAAGACTCCTAAGATTGCATCTGTTCCTGACATATATGTATCCTAACCATCACAAGGCCTAAGCATCATATCACACGTTCCCATGGCTCAGCTATTCTCCTGCCTCTTCTGTATTTCATGGAAATTGTTTCTTGCCACTGTTAAGTAGGAAAAAAAATATTAAAATGACAACCTCATAAAAAGAGGGAAACTACTCCTACTCCTGGGTAGGCACAAATGACACCACAAAAAATAAAACTGATTCTGGAAGATTACTGGAGGTTAATTTTTCAAGTCTCCACTCCCTAAGTACCACAATCCATGGACGAATACAGCAAGGGTGTGAAAGCAATTTTTGAAGCTCCAAATTAAATGACAAGAGACCGCTTTCCTCAGGACTAATGGGTGTGGAAGAGGAGATGATAAACTCATATCCAAAAATGATGTTCCTTATCTTTCTGCATCTTCAAAGAGAAACTCCTTACTTTGACGATTAAAAATGTCTGCCATGCAATTTCTCTGTGTGAGGATCCCTGGCCATTATTACAGGATTTTCTGCAAACAAAAAAAGAAACATGACAAGCCATCTGGTTACCTAAGAGATTGCCTCTCCGCACCAGTAGCCTTCACAGTGGCATCCCTGTCTGTGTCTCCACCTCCAGGATAGCACATGAACAGGCTCTTCTGGGAAGGAGTTCTCTGGCACTCACACTCACTTCCCGGCCTCTGCAAGACCAGGACCATGGTTTTCAAGAAAGATGTCTTCAGAGCCAACTGGCTGGCTTGATTGGCATTTACCCACAGAGGGTTATTAGCCATTTTTAAGGAGCCAGAGTATCATTTCCCATGGCAAAAATGTAGCAAAGGGATGGATGCAAATCACATTAAAAAAAAAAAAAAAGTCTGCCTGCAAGATGGTTTAGGCTTCCTTTTGGACACAGAGTTCCCTGGTTTTAAGAAAGCTAAGGAAAGCATTACTTAGAACGCCTGCAGCCTGACTTGGGAGACCCAGCTGCAAGTCAGAAACACAGGCCAGTATGGCTACAGGCCTTAGCTGGTAAGTACTTCAACACACACACATTTGGAGCAGAATTAGTCCTATTTACATAGGACCCACAGGTGCACTGCCTCACTAGATTCTCAGAACTGCCTTTGCAAGGACTCATTACCACTGCGTTATAAGCAGCAGAGCTCATAGGTGTTAAGTCATTTTCTCAAAGCAGCAGGTAATGGAGCTAAAATTCACCCTGGGTCTGTTCTTCCTCTCGAGAAGACATGAGTAGGTGCATTTTGGCTGTGGATTTATTATTCTGTGCTACACATCCTTTCCTCAGAAGACTCTCACTTTTAAAACACAACGTGGAATGTTCTCTCTCAACTACATCCTGTGACTTCATCCCCTTGCCAAGTTTTTTGAAAGTGTAAACTATAAATGTATTCTGCAATGGGCAACTGATTTTTAGCAATATGTCAATATAAATTAGGTTGAATCTGATCTTGGGTTGCAGCTGACAAGTGTTTAATAAGATAATAAAACAGATCCACTGGTCAGTCAAATTGTAATGGACAAAATCTTCATACATTTTTTCCAACTTTAGAATGCAAATATATATGTAAAGTGGGTCACAATGACTGATGTACTGTGATTTAGTGAGTGTAAATATGAAAGATTAGCAGGGAACCATGAAGGCTAAGTTCAGATGCAAATACTTGTATGTAAGTTAAAGTAGTCAAACTGCTCCTGACACAGACTGCAGGCATGAACAGCCTTGAGTTATTTACTGACTGTTGATGATGATGAGTATTGTGTAGACTAAACAGTGTCCTGTAAGACATTTTTCTTTGAAAAGCATGTTTTGTCTATTCATCTTTTGGAGTGGGTATTTCTGCCTCCTTATTAAAAAAATATTTTAAAAATTCTCTTTGGGCATCCTTTAAAAATAATATATTAAAGAATCCAACAACTTAAAATAATTTGTCTTAAGAGGTCAAATGAATATAGTACTTATTACTAAGACAACAACGTTCTTAAAAGGATTTTAAAAATACCTAAATATCTGCACAATTACACATTGGGAAGTAGCACTAGGTGAGTTGACAGGGAAGTCACACACATCACTGTCTACTGATATATCAATTCTCAACTATCTATTAAAATGGAAGTGGCAAATTTGGACAGTTTCATCTTCATTTCCCTTCCTTTGCCTGTAGTGGCGTGACTAAGGCCAACAGCAGGAAAGAGAAACAAAGTGCCTGGAAAAGCCAGAAACGTTATTATAAACTTTTGAAAGATTATTCATCAAGTTTTAAACTAAACCTAGCTAAACAAATTCTGACCACTTTACATGTACTGACTCAATTATTCCTGACAACACCACTTTGAGGCAAGAACTACCATTACCTCCATATTACAAACCAGGAAACAGACACAGAGCTATTAAATAATTTGCCTAAAGTAATACCACCTAGCAAATACCAGACCATGGGCAGCCTAGCCAGCCAGAGAATCTACCTTTAACTAAGACGTTTTACTACCAAGGAGACACAACTGGCTTGGACTTGCCTTTTCCAGCATTAAAGTTCATGGGGAATACTCCCATGATAAGGCAGAAGGAGAGAAGTGAAAGGCTCAGAGGTTTCCTTTTCTGCAGCAAGAATGTAACCACTGGTTATA